GTATCATACACAAATCTATATATAACTATGAAAATGCTATAGTTTTCATAAATCAATATGGTGATAAATGCTGGTCTTGGGCAAATAATGTGGATCTTCTCCAGCTCCAAACATATTTCCCATACCTGCTCCATTTACCAACTTTCCATCTAGAAATAACTGGGGCAAGTTTTCACTTGAGGTAAAACGGCGTTTGACAACAGCACAACATATAAAGTCAATTGGACGCTTAAATTCTAATTTATTTCTCGCCATTTCAAACCTTTCAAAATTTCTGTTATACATCAAAATTTTTATAGGAAAAGCTATTTTAGTCCTTCATGTTAATTTTATGTTAACCATTGAATAGAAATCTGGATCCACTTTGGGAGGTGGCACCCAACCCACTCTGGTAATAAATGGCAAAGATTAAAAATATTTTATGCAACATTGAGGTACTAAAATCAAACAAGAGAAACTTTAGGGACCTAAAATGACCTTAACTTGGGCAAAAGAGATTGAAGTTTGTTAAAAGATTCATTTCACCTTTTTCCTTAAGAAAGTCCTCGCCCACCTCAAGGTCTAGACTTTGGACACATCAAGTGTTTTCCTTATTAAGCTCACCCAAAGATTTCAACTTGCAACTTCTAAGTATGTTTTACTCAAAGACTCTGACCCTTAGCCAATGGGGCCACCCATTAGAGCTAAAAACTTATTTCACTTGTCTTCATAATTTCTTGATTATCCAAGCAAGATTCACAAAATGATAAAACAGAAAAATCGTAGAGGTGAAAAGGGGTAATTCTTAGAAGTACCGCGGTTGTCAAATGTTTCAGGGACGACCAGAATAGCAGAATACAAGTTTCTTTCACTAAGAGGGATATGTAGTTTTTCTATCAAAATCCAGTCCCAAATAGCATGCAAGTCCTCAAGTACCTGAAATATACCAGATAAAACTTCAAAATAAAGTTTGAAGCATGTGAAAGCTTCAGTAAGCTATTTCCTTTCATCTAGAATCTGCACATTAAAATAATTCTGACGCACTGATATCATAATTACCATTATCTTCCCCACAATCCTTGAAAACTAAACTTTTATCCAAGTGTGGTGGAATAAGTAGAATCGAAGTACACTTATGGATGTACATGTTGATTCAACTTAACTTTCCAAGACAATTCTTAAAAAAAAAAAAAAAGTAGAATAGAGGATGTAACTTTCACCATTCATAAAACACAAGTTTTGGAAAGGAAGCTTATACTATAATACATCAAAACAATGCATTATAAAGAAACTACTGGCAAGAGATGTCCACATGAGACGGTACCTGTTGCATAGAGTAATGTTGTGAGATATTAAAGTGACCTCTGCGAATAGGCCGGTGTAGACAATATGGCTCAATGGGTGATATTTTAAGAGCATCCTCACCGCAAATAAACTGTCTATATTTGATTACACTGGGACTAAGCTCCTTGGAATCAGTCTCTACATGCTGGTCCAAAGACTGGCTCACATCCTTGGAGCTTGAACTTTCTGCAAAAACAAATTATGCAGGTTGCTGAAGAACATATGATGTGCTATCAAAATACATTACTGAATCAATGGTGGAGATGGCAAAAAGGAAGAATATCTGCATAAACCCAGAAAGAAAATTTTTAAAAGAAAAGCCAGATGCGTGCTACAAATCTGTCTTGCAATACATGTTAAAGATCTGATGACAATGAAAAGTCAGATGCATGCTACAAACCCAGAAAGAAAAGTGTCTGGTTTGTTGGCATTCCAAATAAATATTAAGAAGTGTATGACACATCATAAAAACCTTCATGCCTTCTAATGGAATTTGAAAAGACACAGAAAGTTGATTAAACGATTATTACCCACAGTGACTGACAAGGTAGGGTCCCTCTCATGTACGTCAGTCCAAGTAAAGACAGTATCCCTCTTGCCATTATGATGTCCATCAATTCGTCCCATCTGTTGACCATTCACAGCAGAAGGAATAAACACATTGTTTGCCAGTAAATTGAACCTAATTAGTGTCCATGCTCCTCTTCGAGAATTATTTTAGCAACCATCTAGGGAGCTACTATCACATGTAGAATAGCTAAAATTTAGAAGGAAAGACAAAATAGAAGATGGGCATAAAAAGAACAATATTAAAAATTGAATGTCATGCAAGGAAACTTGTGATTGTGGATTGAAGAGGTGAAGTAATTTATCTTCTTGTAAGGTAAAGTTAAGCATATCAATATAATCAAAAAAGAAATTTCCAAATTAATCCTAACGTTGGGCAAACTCAAGGCATAATAGATAGTTTCTTCAAATAAACAGACAACTTGATTCAGGTACATAGAGCCTCACTACTCTCATCAGTCCAAAAAACCACTTGCTAATTTGCTATTCTGCTTACTTTAACAGTATGACTGTATGACACACAAAAGAACCGCACAAGAATAGACGGTAAGTGAGATTAAAAAAGTGAACCAATGTGAACCAATGTGATCTTCTAATTATATTAGACAGGAAAATGATATGGTTAATGTTTCTATTTCCTAATGCAATTCCGGTGATCTAAATGAGCACAAAATAGTTTATAACGCATTTCTTCCGGTCCTTCAAACTACAGTACTACATTCTAAAGAGATGCAACATGAAAGCTCTCTTATACCACAAGTTGTGTATCATTGACATATATTTACCCTGTCTCATATCTCTACGAAGGTATTTCACTCCAGTTCTATTTTCTATTTTCTTTTTTCTTTTTTTTTTTTCGGCGACGAGGTACATTGCTTTCATTCAGATGAATGAGCATCGTCACTTCACTGGCCCTTTTTAGCACATAATAGAAAACCAAAAAAGTACTTTCAACTTGCAAATAAACTACAGCCAGAGATAGTTATATTACTGCCATAATAAGCAACAGATCTTAATCAACTTCATTACCACCGAATGCAGATAACAGTGCCTACCTTACGCGGGAAAGAATTGTTAGCAACCTCTTCATCCAGAAACGGTATTTTTATCAACGAGGCAATCTAGAGACAGACAAAAATGAATAACCAATGAATGATATATTCCATAAATGTGTATACAAAGCAGAAATGATACTCACAACATCATACGCCCTCTCTCGCTCCATGTGCTGTGCAGTTGTAACTTGTGAATTAAGCATCTGAAACCCCAGAAACAAACATTTCCGGTAAATGTTGATTGAAATCACATCGATAATGTTGTAAACGTCTTAAAACGAGTACTAAACCTGATCTTGAACACTTCTCTTGGGAACTTGATTGGTATAACGAGCAATGCAATGAGGAATATTAAAAGGAGCATCCTGCGACGCAAGCCCAATCCTAATATTTGCAGATCCTTCGCATCCAAAAAAAGTACCATAACAATTAGAGTGAAAAACACATACATACAAATGATTAGCGCAATGAAAATTTGAGTCTAGAAGCTGGAATTCGCGAGGATGAGAAGGAGAAGAAGAAGAAGCAGAAAACAAGTTTCTACAAGAGAGATGAATTTGCAGTACCTGGGTTTATCACTACCAAATTAGAACCTCGTTCGGAAATAAGTTGTGAAGGGACGACTGATTTTAGGTATTCCTGTTAGTGAGGAAACAAAGAAACAGTTGAGAAATGGTCGGAAGGAAGATGAAAATACAGAGCTCAGTTCTTCGCCCTTACCATGGCGATGGCGATGGCGTTCGTCTTGCAGTCTGCAGGACGCTGCAGCGTAGCCGAGCTGACCACACCCCAAATTGGCGCTAATTACAAACGTACGGCGACTCTCGCTGTTAACGCCGTAACCAGTTGCAAAATTATTATTTCTAATTAAAAATCAAATAATTAGACAGTTTCTTTTTCTTTTATCTTTCAAATTCAATCAGAAATTCAGAATTTATAATTTGGATAAATGAGTTTTTTATGCAAATTATTCTTAATTTTAGGTCATTCATTTTATTTTCCAGAAAGTAAAATAGCCGTCTAAGTCTTGTTTTTTTTATTCAATAAATAGTTCAAATTTGAATTTAAAAATTTATAGAAACTATATTTTACTCACTTTGAATAAAAAACAGATTCAACCGGCCAAAACCTCTGCTCGGTTGTTGGTAGACTGGGGATCGAATAACAAGTACCCGGAACCGGCCATCATAGTCTATAAGAATAAGACCTCTGGCCCCCGCGTTGAAAAAACTCAGAAATAAATTGAACACTATGTATCTTGGAACATAAGAAGCCTTAAGCATATTTAGGTCGCATCGTAGGAAACACATGAAGTCCTGGATATGGGATCAGACTAAATCGCTTAGAATGTAAGAAGCCTTGGATATAAGTTTTCAGATTACGGTGCTTGAAAAGTATTATGTCTTGAACGTAGGTATTTAATTACGGTGCTTGAAAAGTATTATGTCTTGAACGTAGGTATTTAAACTACGTTGCTTGAAAAGTAAGAAGTCTTGAGTGTAGATATTTAGACTATACCGCAACGCAGACGTTGCTTCACTTAAAATATGACATGAGTTCAACTAGTAGTGAAACACACTCATCACCAAGTGCAATTTTAAAAGAATAGTTTTATTATCGCCAAAATTCAATCTATGCTTCAACATTGTATATTATCGATTAAAACCCTGAATTATGAATTATTAGTATAGATGTGTATAATTTAATCTCCCACATAATAAAAAAAAATCATAAATCCTTTTTTTCGCTGAGACAAAAATCAAATCAATTCTTAAGCTCGTAATTATTGAAAATTTAAAAGGTTAACTAAAACTATAATATTTTTAGTGTATAATTTATTAGAAAGAAAATTACAACTTCTATTTATTGATATCTTCCGATCTAAATACCTATAAATTAATTAACTCGAGCATAGTTTAACTAGTTTAGATATATAACTATTACCATGTTTGAATCTCCTAATGCTATACTATAACGGTTCTATAACTGTAAATAGTAGACAAGAAGCATGTAGAAGAGGTTTGTTCAACTAGTTGGTTGAAATACTAAGAAATCTGAGCTAAATAAGCACATCAAGCTAGCTCCTTAGTTAAAAAAAATTAGTGTAATTCTTTTATCCAGAGGACAAGTACAGAGACCTATTATGCCGCAGCTCAACTTAAATAATAACTCATCAGAAGACAATAATGAAGTAAAGTAAATCAGAGAAATAGAGAACAGCCAACTACAAGAGAAGTAAATAACTTGTTTGCATCAAATGGTGAAAATGTGTAAAAACCTAAGAACTGAGTGCCAGACCAAATTAATCCGATCGCCAACCTGTTGCTTCGTTCACAAATCTAATACGTTTTTGTTTTCGGCGCCTTCTTTTTCGGTTGCCTCTTTGGAACTGTGTTCTTCATCTCCAAGAAGAACAGCAGAGCACCAAAAAGTGCAATGTGCTGCCAAAAAAAATAGGATTCCGTAAGTTTTTTTCTTTTTATTTCACAGGTAAACTGAGATGATTAAAATGAAATCATGGGGGGAAGATTCAGAAAACATATGGACAAACCTGCAAGAAATCGCTGAGCAGGATACCGAAAAAAGGATTCTGGGGGCTAAAGTTGAAGAAATCATAAAGAACCGGAGTGATTATAGCCAATTGCAGAAGCTGAAAGAGAAGGCAATATTTTCTTTAGAGACGTCCATAAATTTTTAGTAACACCGTAACAGCCCAAGCACACAACTAGCAGATATTGTCTTCTTTGAGTTTTCCCTTTCGGACTTCCCCTCAAGGTTTTTTAAAACGCATCTTCTTGAGAGAAGTTTCCACACCCTTATAAAGGGTGTTCCCCAACCGATGTGAGATCTCACAATCCACCTCCTTCAGGGCCCAACGTTCTCGCTGGCACTCAACCGATGTGGGATCTCACTGACCAAATTTATATTCGAGGCTAAAATTATGAACATGGTGAATCCTTACCAGGAGATAAGCTCCAACGCTGCTTCCAAAAACAAACAGAAGGCCTCCAATTCCTTTAAGAGATAAAGAAATGGCAACCAAGTGTGTGACCTGCAGAAATGATCAGAGTTTGAAAAAGAAAAGTCATCGCATACTCATATAAGTTACATAAACGCGCGAAGGTGTAGGCCAATTTCATGCTCTTTTATGAAGTGGTGAATAAGAAGAGAACGACAGACAAAAACTTTAGGCAAACAGATGGTTACAAATATATGGCCTTACATCAATGTCAGGTATCGCTACCCCCAGCTTGGATGATAAATTTCTCCTCAAAACAGCTACCTTTGGAGACAATTCCGCAGCCGCTGACCCACCATTGTTGCTAAACTCATTAAACCTAACCAATGGATGTATACAAAGTCAATACCAAAATAAGAGAGTTCTCGTTAGACGAAGCATTTTGCTCGAGATATTTATAAGTGTACTTAATAAACGCAGAGAATAACGTAGCTCTCAAGTGATAAAACTGTAACTACAGAATGCTTTCTCTAGAAAGTTATCTGCGTCATCCTTCTCCGTGGAGAGATTTTGTTTAGTTAGTAAGGGAGTAGGCCACTCCCTTGCCCATCTTGTTAAAATTATTACCAAAAAAATTATGAAAAGGTAGCTATAAGAGGCAAACCAACATCCTACTGGTCTAAAGATTCAAGGAAAAGAACTTCTAATGTGCATGGAAAAAGTTGCATTCCCCTATAATCCCAAACAACCGTCTGGCTCTACTACATTTTAATGCGGCGAGCACCTGGGCTGAACGCATTCCTGAGTTCTTTATTATTTATATCGGCTCTTATTGACTACGAAGCTAATCCGCCAAGGTCTTAAGTCCCCTGTTGATTAGGATCCAACAGTAACAGTTCATTTCTTCCACACTCCCGTTCATTACTATAAGATTGAAAAAAGTGACTACATAATTAGCCAACGAAAAAAATTGATCCTCAAATTATGACTAGTCGAAGAAGACATAGCTAGAAATACCTAAAATATCGAATTGGAGAATTGAAGATCTTCAATGCAATATATCCTCTATTCTTTCACTTAACATAGTTCATTCAAGTTTGGATGGATAAAACCAATACCTTATCCCCTACAGAAATAATTTACCCTACAAATATAACCTTCTTCATATCAAAACCATCGCCCGAAATTGAATAAAATCACTAGCAAAAATGGCTCCTCATGAAAACGCTTTTAGCCCCCAAAATGGTCCTTAATATCCATGACAATAAGAAATGAACCGTATATAAATCATTCTTAACCAACCCGTCCCAAATTACGAATTGGAGGTCAATTGAATGGCGCCCTAATAAATCTAGCCATTAGAAGTACTTGCCTGCAATTTATATGAATAAGAACCAGAATTCCATAACAGCAACACAATCCTAAACATTTATAGGCACTAACAAAAACCCCAATACCTAATTCGGAAATTGAAGCAAGAGCAATGAAATATTGGGAACGGAAGAAACATATAGATCGAAATCTACAGATTAGAGATCCAGTCAATCGAGTGGGAATATGGGAAAACTAAACAGAAATAGAAGAAATCATACATTTGCCAAGCGGAGAGGATGAAGATGGAGGCAAAGAGGACCCGTCCAAGGAAGGAGAAGAACCCCATGTTTCTTGTTGCAGATCCGAGGTTCAAGAACAGACTCCTGTTACGGATCGGCAACTTCTTCGCCTCCGACTATACGATCAAATTTCTAGTGTGAATTCTGGAATATACAACTGGGTGTCTCCAAATTCAAATTTGAAACAATGAATCAAATTAGATCTCTAAATAAAAAATCTTTTAAAATATTATTTCCCCATTTTGAACCGGGACTAATTTATTCTATTTTTATTTATTTATTAATTGTGAGTTAAATTTAAATGTTTATTATATTTTAGTATATATTTCATATATTACCTAAACTTTAATTTTATATATAATTATATTTTAATTTTAAATATTTTGTACTAATGATAAATAACCATGGTAGAAGGAAAACGAAAAAGATAAGAGAGGATGACGAATTCTTTTTCCATGTGCTTAATAAAATAATTATTCTCGAATATCATGTTGTCCAAATGGTGCACTATTCGACTCTTTAATAATTCTTTATTTTTATAAATAAATAAAAAATATTTTCGTGGATGTTAGGAATGAAAGTGACTCTGAATAATTTACTTGAGTATTTAAGTGATTCTTAATTATTCCACGAATTAAAAATAGAGAATACAGATGAAAATTAGATTAGAAAACGACAAATAAGACTATGATATTTGGATAATATGATAAATTATTATTTTTATTTATTTTCAACCATTTAAAAAATTATAAAAACGTGTACAAAATAATTCCAAAAGGAGGAGCTATTGTTTAGCCAAGTTGGAGGCAGTTGTGTGGTGACTAGTAGATGAACGAACATGTGTTGTTGAATTATACAATTAATCATTTACATATCATTTATAAAAATGAAAAAAAAAATGAAAATACATCTTTCAATACGACAATAAATATAAGAGTGGTTCATATATTCGAACCGAACCACGTGAACAACCTAAAACTATCCAAAAATATGTTTAAAAAAATTTGCAACTCAACTCAACCCAATGCTAGTAATGCGTTATGACTGAGAAATATTTGGACAGTTTAAGATTTTTTTAAAATAATTAAAACTCAATTAAACTTAAAGAAAAAATAAAGGGTTGGACAGTGAACTTATTTGAGTCATTCAAATTTAATATATATACACCTTCATTATTGATTTGAATTTGTGTACGAGAATATTATCTTGCGTGGAGCCCACCAAAACATAAAATAAACACACAACCCACGTGCTTATTTTCACTATTCTAATTTCTAAAACATTATTATTATTATCATTATTTTGATGAGGTAGATGAATACGACATCGTGTCATTGTCATTGTTGATTCACATATTTGTGGTAAGAGAATAGCTCAAATCGTAAAGAGGACTATGCAGGCAAAATAGTTTTAATTATAAATAAATGATAATTTAATGTATGGTTGAAATTCAATTATAAATATATTAAATACACGTTTCAATTTTTTATGAAATTAAGTCTTAATAAAGGATCTACGTGCAAGTGGATAGATCTAGAATTTGTATTAAATTATTATGTCTATAAATATGTGTATCAAATAAAAAATAAATAATAAATTTTTCTAGTGTCACAGTGACGACCTCGGGCCCAAGAGAGAATCCTCTGTTCAAAAGCTTATCTTTATAAACACGGCGAATAATTTTTCATAGAGGAGGTCCATTTGATCGGAAAAAATGGCGGTCGACGGATGCATCCTCACTCCGTTATCCAGAGTGGATGAAAACTACCACAGACCCACCGAGCTCAAAGCTTTTGACGAATCTAAAGCCGGCGTTAAAGGCCTAGTCGACGCCGGTGTTACCGAAATTCCACGCATCTTTTACCAGCCACCGGAAGATTACCACTCCGACAACGTCGCCGGCGAAACACCGTACAAAATTCCGGTGATCGATCTCGAACACGTGGACAGAAATTCCCTCAAACGCAAATTCACCATCGACAGAATCCGAGAAGCTTCGGAGAAATTGGGTTTTTTTCAATTGATCAACCATGGGATTCCGGTGGCGGTGCTGGAAGAGATGAAAGAAGCGGTTAAGAGATTTAACGAACAATGCACGGAAGTGAAGAAACAATACTACACTCGCAACAAGACCAAGCCTTTGATTTACAACAGCAATTTCGATCTGTACAGCGCAGCCGCCACGAATTGGAGGGACACGATTGGTTACATAAGTGCTCCTGTTCCTCCCAATCCACAGGACTTGCCGGAGATTATCAGGTGGGTTTGATGAAAAACAGAGACACCCTTTTGAAATTTGAGTCTCTGGGTCTCTGATTTAACTTGAGATGTGTGTATTTGCAGAGATAATTTGGTGGATTACTCGAAAAGAGTGATGGAAATTGGGAATTTGCTGTTTGAATTGCTGTCGGAGGCTTTGGGGCTGACCCCAAATTACTTGAAGGACATAGGGTGCTGCGAGGGCCTGGCAATTGGGGGCCACTATTACCCACCCTGCCCGCAGCCACATTTGACACTGGGCACATCCGAGCACAGTGACAATGTCTTCATCACTGTTCTGTATCAAGACCACATCGGCGGCCTTCAGATCCGCCACCAGAAAAAGTGGGTCGACGTCCCACCTGTCGATGGCGCTTTGGTCGTCAACATCGGAGAGCTTATGCAGGCAAGTTCCCGTGTTTCTATGCCTTTTGTTTTCGATTCTTTGATGGTAATCGTATTAGAAACCACAACTCTCTGTAATAGTATGATATTATCTACTCTCCTAAAAAAATCTCGTGCCAATGAAATGTATTCTTTACTTATATAAATTCATGATCATTCCTTAAATTAGCCAACGTGGGACTCTCTCCCAACAATTTTCCCCTCGAACAAAATACACTGTACAGCTTCCCATAAAACTTATTGAGCCCTCAAACAGCCTCTCTTTAATCGAGGCTCAATTTCTTCGCTGGAGTCCTCGAACAAAGTACACCCTTTGTTCGATACTTTAGTCACTTTTGACTACATATTCTTTGAGGATTCTATTAACATGGCTAAGTTTAGGACATAGTCTTAAGAACCACTGATATGTATAATATTGTTCATTCGTGACTTTGATTTGGGCTTTCCAAAAAACCTAATATCAATACAGATAGTATTTCGTATTTATAAAATTCATGATGATTTCTTAGATTAGTGAACGTGGGACTCACTCTCCTAACAATCCTCGACAAATGGGGTGTTGTTTTGTACTGCAGTTAATAACAAACGATAGATTCATAAGCGTGGCGCATAGGGTATTGGCGAAGCAGGAGGGTCCAAGAATCTCAGTGGCGAGCTTTTTTAGTACGCTTTATTTGCCGAACTGGAAACTGTATGGACCCATAAAGGAACTGTTATCGGAAGAAAATCCGGCCAAGTACAGAGAAACCACAATCAGAGACTTCCATCTCCAGTATCGTGCCGATGGGCTTGGGACTTCCTCTCTGCAGCATCTCAAGCTTTGACTACAATAATAATTCATCTACTTTTCTTGCTTTGCTCTTACATTCAATTCAGACCTTACGTGTTCTTTGTGTTCTTAGGAGAGGTTTCCACAACCTCATAAAAAATGTTTCGTTTCCTTCTCCAACCGACGTGGGATCTCACAATCTACCATCTTCGAAGCTCGCGCGTCTTCAGTGGTACTCGTTCCCCTCTTTAATTGAAGCGAAATTTCACAAATAGTCTATTGGCCCACGTATTGTAGTGAAAGTGTCTCAAAGACTTGGTTGATTATCGAATATTAAATGTTCGCAAGGCCGACATCTAACCTCTTTTTCTTGTTATAGTAACAAACCTTTAAAATAAATGTGTTGACTTTTAGGTTAACAACAAGACTTTACTCTTTGATTAATGCAATACAAGAATTTGTAAAGTTTAATAATGTTGAATAAAATATAATTATTAATTGATGGATTGACTTGAGTGGATGCATTGAATAGGAATTTGAGGACAAAGCGACGTCGTATTTGAAAGCAAACGCATAAAATATTAAAAAAATAAAACAAACCACGTGCTTATTTACACTATTTCCATTTAAAACAAATGCATTATTTAACGATGAGTTGGTCAAACACGCCAACTCCGTAGAAAAGAAATAAATTAAATTATAATTTATAAAATTGGTCTTGAAAAATTTGATAAATATTTTAATAAATATATATTTAGGATTTTTAAACATTAAATTATCCGAAACACAAAGTGATGACATCATAAGCTAAGCGAGCGATCGACAATGGCGGTTGCAGCGACCAGAATCCTAACGCCGGTATCCAAAGCCGACGGAAGCTACCACAGACCCACTGAGCTCAAAGCTTTCGACGACACTAAATCCGGCGTTAAAGGGTTAGTGGACGCCGGAATTACTGAAATCCCTCGAATCTTTTACCAGCCACCGGAGTCCAACGACTCCGGCCATGTTTCCGACGAGACCCAAATCCATATTCCAATGATAAACCTCGACCACATCGGAAAAACGCCGCTCAAACGAAAATACACCGTCGACAGAATCCGAGAAGCTTCAGAGAAATTCGGGTTTTTCCAATTGATTAACCATGGGATTCCGGTGAGTGTTCTTGAAGAGATGAAAGATGGGGTTCGGAGATTTCACGAACAAGAAACAGAGTTGAAGAAACAATACTATAGCCGTAACCTCACGAAGCCTCTGATTTACACCAGTAATTTCGATCTGTATTCCGCTCCGACCACCAATTGGAGGGATGCGTTTCGGTATATAAGTGTCCCAAGTTCTCACAATCCGGAAGATTTGCCGGAAATTTGCAGGTAAGTATGCTGATTTTGGACCCAAAAAAAGACCCTTTTAAACAGAGGTTCCTCTGTTTTGTGCAGAGATATTCTGATGGATTACTCGAAACGAGTGATGGAGATTGGGAAATTAGTGTTTGAATTGCTGTCGGAAGCTCTGGGGTTGAATCCAAATTACTTGAACGGTGTAGACTGCGGCGAGGGGCTTTCTCTGGTTTGCCACTATTACCCACCATGCCCACAGCCGAATTTGGCCATTGGCACATCGGAGCACACTGACAATAGCTTTATCACTGTGCTGTTGCAAGACCACATCGGCGGCCTACAGATTCGCCATGAGAACAATTGGGTGGACATTCCCCCCGTCGCCGGAGCTTTAGTCGTCAACATTGGAGATCTTATGCAGGCAAGTTTCTCTACCATCTCTCTCCAATTTATATTACTGTATTGTCCATTTTGAGCCTACTAAGAAAGTACACTACAGAGCCTCTCTTGTAGCCTATGGAGTCCTCGAACAACCTCTCTTTAATTGAGGCTCGAACATAGTACACCCTTTGTTCGACGCTTGAGTGAGTCACTTTTGACTCCACTTTCGAGGCTCACAACTTCGAAGATTCTATTGACAACACTTTTGACGACATTTGAGGATTTTATTGATATGGTTAAGTTAAGGGCATGACTATGATATCATGTTACGTATCACGACTCTACACAGTAGTATGATATTGTTCACTTTGAGCATAAGATCTCGTATCTTTACTTTTGGGATTCCCTCCTAACAATCAAGTGATCCTGTGATGTCCCACATTAGTTGTGAAAACCTTCCCCTAACGGACACGTTTTAAAATTTTGAGAGTTCTATCAATATCGGCTAGCGGTGGATCTGGGTCATTACAGATCTTCTCCTAAATTAGTCAATGTAGAACTCCGATTCTCAACAATTTATGTCCACCGACTCTAATTGGGTTAGGTTTTTGGTGCAGCTAATAACGAACGACAAATTCAGAAGCGTTAAACACAGAGTTCTGGCAAACAAAGAGGGTCCGAGAGTATCAGTGGCGGGGTTTTTCTCCCCGCCGGTTTTGTCGGCCTCGAAAGTGTATGGACCTATAAAGGAATTGGTATCAGAAGAAACTCCTGCAATATACAGAGATACCACAATCGGAGAATTCAATACCCAATTCCATTCAAAAGGCATTGGAACTTCTACTTTGCAGCAGTTCAAGCTGAGTCAAGCACATATTTAGCTTGTTCTTGAAGGAAAATAAGGAACATAGAGTGATCGATTCCGGGTTTTAATGAACACACACAATCTAGAGCCAAAAACTAAACTAAACCATCTTCCATGGTGGTGTTGTCGACCCAATAGTTTAGGTTACATGTTTAAAATTGATATGATCGAGATCTCATGGAGTGATTCCAATCTCAAACGAGTTAATCTGAATCTGGCTTCTCATTTTTTATCATTTGGTATCTGATTGTCTTCTTTTAGTTGACTTCTTATCAGAAATTCTATCTAACTAGTCAACTTCCCCCTACCTCAGGTTATATACTATGAGCCGTTGTTATTTCTCTCTTACTTGCTTATATAACGTCTCTTTCAAAAACCTCTCTCTGTCTTCATTTTCTAAAACCTTCTCTTAAAACCGAGGCTAGAGGCTCGAGCATACGTCGCTTGGCCATAGGTAACGCAAGAACGAATTAGCTTAGCTCACTTGTCGTTCGAAAGTAAGTGCGGCACAATGGCAAGTCTGTTGCCATCAAAAGTGTGATTGTGACAAGTGGTATCAGAGCCATGCCCTAAACTTAGTCATGGTAATAGAATCTTCAAATGTCGAACAAAGGAGTCGAGCCTCTCACCTCAAAGGCATAGTAAAAAATGACTAAGACTTCAAAAGAAAAAGGAGTCGAGCCTCGATTAAGGGGAGGCGTACTTTGTTCGAGGAGAGGTGTTGGATGAAAGTCTCACCGACTAATTAAGGAATGATCATAGATTTATAATAAAACAATACTATCTCCATTTGTGGGACTCTAACCAAATTATTTAAAATTATGGTCAAAATTGTGTGTCAATTTTAATGAGACCAACATTTTCCTTAAACCTTCGATTTTTCTTTATATGTGGTCTGCAAAGTGGTTCAACCCAAGATAAGATATAGACAATGGCGGTTGCAGCGACAGAAGTCAATACACTCAACCTAACTCCGGTATCCAAAGCCGACGAAAGCTACCACAGACCCACTGAGATCAAAGCTTTCGACGACACTAAATCCGGCGTTAAAGGTTTAGTAGACGCCGGAATTACTGAAATTCCTCGAATCTTTTACCAGCCACCGGAGTCCAGCGACTCCGGCCATGTTTCCGACGAGACCCAAATCCATATTCCGGTGATAGACCTCGACCACATCGGCAAAACGTCACTCAAACGAAGATACACCGTCGACAGAATCCGAGAAGCTTCAGAGAAATTTGGGTTTTTCCAATTGATTAACCATGGGATTCCGGTGAGTGTTCTTGAAGAGATGAAAGATGGGGTTCGGAGATTTCATGAACAGGACACGGAATTGAAGGCACAATACTATTCTCGCAACATTATGAGGCCTTTCATTTACATCAGTAATTTCGATCTGTATTCTTCAGCCACCACCAATTGGAGGGATACGTTTCGGTATCTAAGTGCCCCAAATTCTCACCATCCGCAAAAGCTGCCGGAAATTTGCAGGTAAATGACCTAATTTTGGACCCTAAAACGACCCTTTTAAACAGAGATTCCTCTGTTTTGTGCAGAGATATTCTGGAGGATTACTCAAAACGAGTGATGGAAATTGGGAAATTAATGTTTGAATTGCTGTCGGAGGCTCTGGGTCTTCCTCCAAATTACTTGAACGACATAGACTGCAGCGAGGGGCTTGCACTTGTATGCCACTACTACCCACCATGCCCACAGCCGAATATGGCGATCGGCACATCGGAGCACACCGACAATGACTTCATCACTATTCTACTGCAAGACCACATCGGCGGCTTACAGGTTCGCCATGGGAACAAGTGGGTGGACGTTCCCCCTGTCGCCGGAGCTTTAGTCGTCAACATCGGAGATCTTTTGCAGCTAATAACGAATGACAAATTCAAAAGCGCTAAGCATAGGGTTGTGGCGAACAAGGAGGGTCCGAGAGTGTCAGTGGCAGGGTTTTTCTCCACGTTTGGGTTACAGACCTCCAAAGTGTATGGACCCATCAAGGAATTGGTATCAGAAGAAAACCCTGCAATATACAGAGATACCACAATCAAAGACTTCAATATCCAGTTCCATTCAAAGGGCATTGGAACTTCTACTTTGAACCACTTCAAGCTCACCCAAGCACATGTTTGATTTGTAGTTCATAAAGGTCGTGTTCTGTCACAAGATCTTGGAGTTCATTCGTATCGCAGTGAATGTAAGGTAATGTTATTATTCTTGCTCAAAAAATAGACAAAAGATGTCGCGATAAAATCTATGAAAACACTTTCTCATGGTTTTTATGGTATAAGCTACGACCCCAAGAGCATAAGGAGTTTGTCCCACTCGACCTTATCCTGTTGACAAGCTACGTCTTTACATACGCGGCAATGTTGTCTTGCGTGCAAGGCCTGGTGGTCACGTAGTACCTCTGCTTTTGAAGGCCTAGTAGTCACGTAGACAAAGTTTTTGTACAGGATGTACTGTGGTGAGTCCTTCTCTTTCAATCGTGGTGTAATTTCACCACGGTGACAACCTCCTCTAAATTGGGATAATCGAGTTTGGAAGGTTATGAGCAATTACTCTTAAGGAGGTACATCTTTGGCTAAATGATTAATTTGTCTTTAATAGATAAAAGGTCTAGAAAGAACAGACCGGACACCGCAAACTAGTCGTTATTGGGGTCACCATTTCCGTAATTTCAAGTAATTGATACGGGTCTCTTTTGAATTCGTTCGAGTTATTGGCTCATCTAACCTAGTAACACTCACGAGTCACTTGTTCATAAGGATGACATTACTCGTAAATACTTTTTTAGCCAATTATTCATAATGTTTAGGCCTAATTGGGAAGAAGATTGCATCATAAACAACACAAGCTTATAGGAAATTTGAATGAGTATGTAATCAAAGCCTGAAATGTGAGAGAGCAGAGGTCCCATCCAACCCTTTTTCTGCAAAGTAGAGATTGTATTCCCTAACGGTGATTTCTCGGTACTTGGCACGATTTTCTTCCGACAACAATTCTTCGATGGGTCTATAACGTTTGGAGGTCGGAAGAGGCCCGGTGGTGAAGAAACTTGCCACCGATACTCTCGGACAACCCTCGCTGTTCGCCAACACTCTGTGCTCCGAGCTCACGAATCGGTCATTCGTTACCAGCTGCAAAAAGGAACCCAAACTCATAATTTTCTATAAATTTTATGTATCTAGGACGATGTTGTTATTGAGAATTGTTGGGAGTGAGTCCACGTTGGCTAATTTAAAGGATGATCATGGGTTTAAAAGTAAAGAATACATCTCAATTGGTACGAGGTCTTTTAAGGAAATCCACAGCAAAGTCATGAGAGCTTATGCTCAAAGTGGACAATATACCATTGTGAAGATTCGTGATTCCTAACAGTTGTCTATCATAGAAAGTCAAATACTTGCCTGTAATAAGCTGCCAACATTGACGACAAGGGCTCCCGGAACGGGAGGAATATCCACCCATTTGTTGTGTTGAAGCACTTGAAGACCTCCGATATGGTCCTGCAACAGGACGGTGATGAAGGTATCGTCGGAGTGCTCGGTGGCACCAATGGTGAGTTCGGGCTGAGGACATGGCGGATAATAGTGGCACACAAGAGCTAGTCCCTCGTTGCAGTCCAAGTCAAGGAGATGGGCCGATTTCAGACCAAGAGCCTCCGAAAGCAACTCAAATATCAATTCCCCAAGCTTTGCTATTTCTTTCGAATAATCAACCAAGATGTCCCTGCAACGAATGCATTGGTACGAGGAGAGATTATGCTCAAAATGAACAATATCACATCATTGTAGAGATTTGTGATTACTAACATGGTATCAGAGTCATGCATTTAACTTAAACATGGTATCAGAGTCATGCATTTAACTTAACCATGTCAATAGAATCCTCAATTTACTTCGTTCAAGGACTCTAAAGAAGGAGTCGAGCCTTGATTACAAGGGGAGGCTATTCGAGGGCTCCATAAGTCTTAGGAGAGGTTCTATAGTGTACTTTGTATAAGGTATTTTAGGAGCAAAATCACGAGGACTTATATTCAAAGTAAACGATATCATACTATTGTAGAGATTTGTGATTCTTAACACTTACCTGCAAACTTCAGGCAGGTCCTGCAGGCGGGGAGAAACAGGGGCCATCAAAGTAAAGAAAGTGTCCCTCCAATTGGCCGCCGGTGCGCTGAACAGATCGAAATTACAATTGTAAACAAACGGCGCGGTGGTCTCTCTTGTATAATATTGTTTCTTCACTTCACTGTCTAGCTCGTAAAATCGACGCACCCCATTTATGACCTCCTCTTGAAGCCTCGCCGGAACTCCATGGTTTACAGCTTGAAAAAAGCCCCACGTCTCTGAAGCTTCCCTGATTTTATCCACAATCTCTCTGCGTCTGAAGGGATCTTTGTCGACGTCTTCGAGATCCACCACCGGAACGCCGAGATGGGTCTCGACGGAACTGGAATCGTCAATTTTGGTTGGGCGGTAGAATATTCTTGGGATCTCGACAACCCCGGCGTCGACTAAGCCTTTGACGCCGGCCTTAGTTTCGTCGAAAGCTTTCAGTTCGGATGCTCTGTCGAAGGCATCGTCAAGATTGGAGACAGGCGTGAGGCTCAGTTTGTCGACGGCCACCATTTTGCTTCTCCGGTGAAAGTTTAGAGTTCAAATTCTGTGGAGTTTTATCGAAAAGGTTGGATTTTTAATGCTGAATTGCCTAACGAAGATAGAAATGATATTTAAAATCGAAATCCAATCACGTGAGAGATCAAAAATAGCCGAAGATTAAGAGCCACTCGTGGAAACAAAAGAACAGTGCGATACCATCGAAATCATTTTGATAGATAATGGACATAACTTAAGATTTTAGAACTCCCTTCTCCTCATGACTCTACGGTGATCCGACCTTTTAATTCTTCGTTCAGCTGCCTAAAGGGGGGATAAACCTATGTACGACTGCCTTACCATACAACTCGGTGTTCCAAGCTTGATGCACACTTCATTTGAGATTAGGTCATTGCTCGACATATTAAAATTCGGCATCTTCTGTAACATTTCAAGCCCACCGCTAACAGATATTGTCCGCTTTTGTCAATTACGTATCGACGTCAGTCTCACGGTTTAAAACGCGTATGCTAGGGAGAGGTTTCCATATCCTTATAAGAAATGTTTCGTTCCCCTCTCTAACCAACGTGGAATCTCACAATC